ACACTCCCCTTCCTTTTTTGATTGTAAGCCGCCCTGAGTCCCCTCAGGGAAAAGGGCGGCCTATAAATAAATCTAAACGAAACGAAACGAAACAACTGCCAACAACTAAAAAGTCATATACAACCAGGCACCACAAATACTATTTATGTGAAAGCACACATTCTGGTGAAGAGACATTCCCTGAGGATGGGTTCCAGCAGGAGTCGCAAAGGTCAGAAGACAATCTCTGGTCCCAGTAACTGAGCCAGATTGGATCCTGCAATATTTAGATATATTTGCCTTCATTTGTGAGAGATTGTCGTGGACAGAATCTCTTAAGTGGTCCCCAAGATCTGAGCTTGGCTTGAGAACACAGAAGGAAGGTCAAATGTCAAACTGTCCCATCTCTGTCCTGTATCCCAGCATTGGGATACAGTGCCAATATATTCCAATGCTGGGATACATTTCAAGAGGTCCGCAAAAGAGCCTCAATTTTAGGCCTTAAATGAATGAAAGTTTGGGGGGGGGGTTTACTGGAGGGACCTTGGGAGTCCTGGTGGATGAGCCAGCAGTGCGCAGTAGCAGCCAAAAAAGAGAATACAATCCTGGGTGACAAAACTATACCCAAAACATATAAACAAATGCATGTAAGGAAGAGCTGCCCCCTGCAAGAGGGGCTCAGAGTATTGTCTACATTTAAGGCAGATAGAAGCAAAGTTTATCCCATCAGAGACAAAGAGTCTTTACCAACTTAAAGCATCCTTTTGTTCAAGCTCCTGTCTCTGCCTACCTTATCTATGGAGGATTCCTATAGCCTTGTGTAGGGGGTGGCAGCGCCCCCTCCCTTTGCCAAGTTCTTTTTCGGCAGAATGCTTTAAAGATTTATGAGCCAGGAAAATTCCCTACTTTGGTTCCTTTATCTATGGGGCCTGATATTCCCGTGTAACAATTTCTTCCATGTTTTCAAGAATGTGCCTAGCTTTGAAGCCAAGAATGCAAGCGAGACGCAGCAGTGAGGTAACATTTGCAGTAATGCCATCCAATGTTAAGGTTTGCAATTCGCTGGGCTAGAAAACAACTAATTTCTGACTATACAATCATATAAACAGACGCCAATATTGATTCATATACTCCTTCAAAATAATAGTAAGTAAGGCCACACTTGGAATACTGCAACCAATTTTGGTCACCGTACTACAAAAAAGATGTTGAGACTTTGGAAAAAGTTCAGAGAAGAGCAACTAAGAGGATCAAAGGCCTGGAGACATGAGGAACGGCTGCAAGTTTTGTGTCTGGCTAGTCTAAAGAAAAGAAGAATTAGGGGTGACATGATAGCAATATTGGCGTCTGTTTATATGATTGTATAGTCAGAAATTAGTTGTTTTCTAGCCTAGCAAATTGTAACCTTAATACTGGATAGTATTACTGCAAATGTTATCTCACTGCCGCGTCTCGCTTCTATTCCTGGCTTCAAAGCTAGGCACATTCTTGAAAACATAGAAGAAATTGTTACACGGGAATATCAGGCCCCATAGATAAAGGAATCAAACTAGGGAATTTTCCTGGCTCATAAATCCTTAAAGCATTCTGGTGAAAAACAACTTGGCAATGGGGGGGGAGCTGCCACCCCCCCTACCGAAGGCTATAGGG